AGGCATGATTGTACCTTGCTGACATCTGCATGGGCACACGTCTGTTCTGATGCCTTGTCCCAGTGTGTGCAGGTTCACAGGGATGGCCATGCAATGAGATAGCAGTTGCCAGCAGTTCATTTCTGCAAAGGTGCACAGGGATGGTAGTGGGGATAGTAAAAAAAAAAGTATCCAGTGGCGCGCCTTGAAACCATGCTGTGTGGTCATGACATACGCACTCCAGCTGACTTGGGAGCCAGTGGTGCAGTTGGTGGGGTTTCAATGTGGCTTCAGAAAAGGCAGCTTCAAGCCATTTTTTCCTGCTCATCTGTTTTGCCCCATACTTTTTAACTATTGGAAAGGTACTTAAGAATACATACATAATATGTTTCAGAATATTTCATTATAGGTTTACATAGCCTAAATACTCTAAAGGTACCAGATCCCATCTGATCTTTGAAGCTGAGCAGGGGCAGCTCTGGTTAGGACTTGGATTGGAGACTACCAAGAATACCAGGTACTGTAAGCTATATTTCAGAGGAAGAAACTGACAAAACTGCTTCTGAGTATTCCTTGCCTATGAAAACACTATGAAATTCATGGGATCACTATGGCAGATAACCAAGAATAATGGTATCTGGCACGAGGCACCATGATGCAGTGCATAGGAGAGTAGGACCAGAGGCTGTTTAAGACCTTACCACCGTATTCTGCAGCCTCTTTTATTTGTGGTCTCAGAGAGCACAGTTGTTCTCTTTGAGCAGTGGCAGCATTGACCAAGCAGTGGCTGGTAGTGTCAACTATGAGAGTGACACACAGTCAGCAGAAGAAGTGTGTCTGTGTGTGTGGGGGAGAGTGGTTCATGTTGTTGGATTTGGTTTGTTAATGGGGTCAGGAGACTGGACAGAGGAGAACTTTCCTTGCCACTCTTTCTCTGTTGGGTTCCTCACTCCCTGGGGGGATTAGGCCTTTGGTGGTGGCTGGGTTGTTAAAGAGTTTAGCTTGGTCCAGGATGTCTTGAGGTCTTGGCAGAGTGGTCCACTGTCTTCAGGCCTCTGGGTTTTGGGTTGGTAGCCTGTTGAGCTATTCTTACTGTGCCATGGAGCAAGGCAGGTTAGGCCCAGTAGAGGTGTGTTTGGGGCCTTTTTTGTGACAATTGGCTCTTGGTGTTGTTGTTAAATATTCTGTCACTTGGCAGGTAGTGGGGGGAGAATATAGGACTTTTGGTGTACAGCTTGGCACACTTTTGGTGAAGGATAGGGCTATGGAACTTCCTCTTCATATCCTGTGACTTGAGGAGGAGTGCCTTGGGTCTACCTTCCAGTAGATGGCCAGGAGGGGAGTAACCCAGTTATTGAATTGCCCTTGAGGCTCAGATGTTTCATCTGGGGGAAAGCTGAGAAGGTGGTCAAGGGCTGACATGTGGCCTCAGCTGAATGTGCATCAGATTTCTCCCCCTTCTTGCTCCTTTCTAGGTTCAATGCAGATTAAATAGGTTCTAGGTCAAATAAAATGGCTCTTGTTTTAACCCAGTTCTCTGTGTCTGGTCTCATTATTTCATAGTTGGTCATCAGTTGTCTTTCTCTACTGATATAGCTAGAGAGAGAGAAAGAGAGCAAAAAAAAAATGTTAATGTTTAGCCTGAAACTATTCTACATCATTTAAAAGGACACATGACCATTCCAACACTTGTAGTAACTAATGATCCAACTTAGTTATGCTAGGTGAAGAACTGGTGAGAGAAGAGTTGATGACCTGTCAGTTTTGGTTTCCCTATTTCTCATTTTTCCCAATTTTAAATTGATTTTGTGTTTTTTTTACATTGGTTTGCATTAAAAACAATCCACACAAAATATGTTTGCATTGACTATTACAGTTTTAATATGCATTTTGGTGATGCTAAATGGCTTCACTGTCTACTGAATATGTGCAATATGGAATCTTAGTCCAACAGACTACCGGTACATGTATCAATCCATTCTCAGAATGGTAGTGATGTGGAAACTACTGAAACAGTTAGGTTTAATGGCTCCTCTTATCTTGATGAAAATAGATTTCTTTCAGGGTGAGAATAATCCTTTTAACAGAACTTGCAGAAGTTACTTTTTTGGATTATAATTTTCAAAATTCTCCAACCAGAATGGCTACTTTTTGAAGGTGTAGAATAGTAGCGTTTCCAATCTCTCTTTTATTAACACATTCTTCTGGTTCTCTCTTTTCTTCTTTCCATTCTGGTTCATTATTCTGAGAAATGTTATATAAATGATTCCAGACTTGCTTCACCAAAGAAATTAAATGGCAATATGGCTGCGCTCTATACATGATCATTGCACAATGAGTATGGACTTCCAACTGTGGTTTAATTAACTTTGTTTGAATCAGAATCCAAGAAATTAAATAAGTACTTGACAAATATTAGGTACAGCAGAACCTACAGCAAGCTTTTGATAGTTCAGTCTGTATTAGGTTTTACATGAACACTTCAAGCAAAAGTTTCATGAGTGTCAGTGGTATGTAAGAACAAAAGTGCAGAAAAGCTGTTTTGTTTCCAAGACAGTACAGCTCTTGTAATGTGCCTCATTGGTTCACATCATGGTTATGTTTGATTAACACGGATTTAATGACTTTGGCCTACTGTTGTGTAACATCTGGTGCACTCAGAAAACTTTACATTTGATGGGTTTAAAATTCATCTTTATGCTTTACATGTTCCAAATTTTGGCTGTTTCATTATAGTTAGAAGCTGTATGATATATAAGGCAATAACCCATGTTTAGAGCCAACTAGAGTATACTCACTAAATCAATGGGAGCTTGGTAAAACAATACTTAAATAAATCATATTTATTCTACTGGAACTAATAATTATATTTAGTCAATAATAGTTATGTATTACCTTAGTAATGCAGGATTTTAGGTGTTATTTTTTATCTCTTTATTTATTAAAAACTATCCATATAAAATGAAATTACAGTGGGCCCCCCATATCAGTTGACTTGCCATCCATGGATTTCTGCATCTGTGGACAACAAGCTCCCATTGTCCGTAATTGTGGTGTGTGCACACAGCTGAGCTGATAAGTGTGGGCATACCACACCACTATTAGGGAAAATGGGACTTGAGGTCTCGCATTTTTTGGTATCCGCGTGGGAATCTGGAACAGATCCCCTGTGGATACCAAGGTCTGACAGTAAACGTATGTCTTGACATGAGTTACAAGAACTAACTGTCATATCAAAACATTTTTACTAGTTATTTTAATGTTTGTGAAGTCGTAGGCTTTCATGGCCGGCATCCATAGTTTTTTGTGGGTTTTTCGGGCTGTGTGACCATGTTCTAGAAGTTTCTAAATATTTTAATGTTTATTTTCATTAATGTTTTGAGGCTCTCTGTGATTCTTGAATTCATCAGCATTATTTGTTGCTGGATAAGGTTTGTGTTCTGGTACTTCCTCATAATGGGTGATTACAATGAAAATAAAAATGCTAGCAGGATGAAAGGGGATATCTAGAAGCTTGACCTTTAGACTAAGAAAAGGGAGTTTAACTTGTGCATTGGTCTTTGTTATTGTAGGAACTAGTAATCATTTTACTTTAAAGTTACTTCAGTGTGACTTTCATGAAAACTTTGAAAGGATTTCTGTGTTTATGACATGACAATCCTTATTTGTAGGGGCCCTCCATTCAGTACCTTTGATATACCATAAATAATAACTGAAATTTAATAATTAAAGAGGAACTAATCAAACCTGAATTAATACATTTGCTCTTAACATATATATTTTTCAGTAGCCCTAAACAAATCTGAATGCATGGGTTAGAAGGTTGTTTACTTTATTGTGCTATAAATAATGAGATATGACATGGAAAGAGTTATTGATTGGTAGACTGATAAAAAACAAAAATTTGTCCTCAGGCAAGATGTGTAATCCTAACCTATTAGTAAATTCTAATGAAGGCTGTTCTGCATACTGAAAATGTATTTTGGCAGTTTGATTTAGTGTAACTGCACATTGTGTTGTAGTGTCCACAGTTTTGTGTCATAAAACTTAGTATAATTTATTTCACAGGGTCTAGCACACAGTGTTTTCCATGGTCATAATAATCACAATGGCTTTAGACAGTATGGTGACCATAAAGTGTACTGGCCAGTGAACCACTTTAGATAATTGAGTTTGGAAAATGATCACAGTCCACACTGTCTGGGAATGTTAAAAATGTGTTTTGGATTGTCCTAGACTGAAGAAAAATGAAAAATGATTCCACATTCATCCCATTATTCATCCTAGGGGATGCTGGTTTGGACAAATTTTTAGGGACTCACTGTGTATCCTGTGTTTGTTTGATGGCTGAAGTTCACACATCCCCTTTGTTTATTCTGCATTGGTCCTCCACCTGGATATGGGCAATCCCTCCCTTGCTTTTTTCATTCCAACTTAGATATACATTGAGTTCTTTCAGAAAGAACCTAGCTCATTTCCGAACATCTGTGATTGATATGCATATACACCTCTGTCCAACAGCTTTTCAAATACACATGCTCCATATCCTTTACTTACTTGGCCAATGGCCAAGTGAGAGCAGCAGTGGTGGTGTATGCCCATTTCCTCTTCTCCAGATTGCCCCATTAGCTAAACCTACACAAGAAGTTGATGCATGGATATTGTAAGATAACTACAATCCCTGTTTAACTAAGAAATAATATTTTTATGTTTTTGATTATATGATGAAATTTTACAAACTTTAGAGTGATCATTGGTGCTTCCAAACAAGCCTTTTACTGTGCAGTTATTCTATCTCAAACAGAGAATATTACCAGGTGGGGGATCCAGACATCATCATCTTCCTTTGTGATCTTCCCATGTTTTCTCATTACTTATAAAGTTGTTTCCAACTTATGTGACCCTAAGCTGAACTTATTATGGGGTTTTCATGGCAAGATTTGTTGAGAGGGGGTTTGTCTTTGCCCTCTTCTGAAGCTGAGAGAGTGTGATTTGCCCAAAATCAACCAGCAAGTTTCCATGGCCAAGCAGGGATTTGAACCCTGCCCTCCAGAGTCCTAGTCCAACATTCAAACCAATAAGCCATGCTGGCTGTCATGCTTGAAATACCACTTGTTTATTCCTAAACCTGACTGACTCTTAATCATAAATGTTGCACACCCTCTTGTCACCAGACCATCCATTTCTCTCACTAATCTCCATGCTGTAATTAAGTTCATGCCATTGCATTGTCCAACTGGGAGCACCACTGTACTGTGTTTTTGTCAAAAAGACTAACTGGTTTATTTGGATTGTTTCAGCGTGCCCTCCTTCTCACTGGGGTCCAAACTGCATCCATACCTGCAATTGCCATAATGGAGCTCGCTGTAGTGCCTATGATGGGGAGTGTAAATGTACACCCGGGTGGACAGGTCTCTACTGTACACAAAGTGAGTTATTCCAAATATTTATCTTTAAATAGTATAGACCAGACTTCCCCAACCTAGTGTCCTTCACTAGGTGTGGGAATGCAACTTCCAGAATCCCCTAACCAACTATGCTTCTGGAGGATATCAGGTAGAGAAGGCCTGCTACACAGCAATATAGTTGGGTGTCAGAAGTATTTAGTAGTCTGAAAGTTATGATTCAGGAATTCTTGCTGAAAACCACACAAAAATATGTGTGCACTTTTAACCTGCCTTAGTTTTTGGTGTATCTTGTGCATTCCTTAGACAAGAAATGCATAAGACAAGAGGGCAAGACAGCAAATAATGTATATACTTTAAAAACGTGTTCATTTTCAATATCTTAGCAAGAGCTGTGCTGCCTTTGTGCCAACTATTGGTTATAGAAAAGACACCCTGCAGTGTTGAGAATGAAAATGTTATGTAGGTTTGCTTGTATTTTGAAGGATGTTAACCCTCCATCAGTTGTTAGAATAACAAAAGTAACTGTCCTGTTTCACAATATTAAGAAAAATTGCAAACAGCCATAAAGCTGTTCTGTGCTACTTGAGTCAGCAGCACTCAAGATTCTTTTGTTTCTTGATTTTGAATATTGATATTTTTACATATCATATGCCTTCCCAATGGAATGGAATCTTTATATGGAGCAAAACTATGGCATGTTGTTATTTTACTGTTTCACATTTTAGGAGCCTGTAAATAGAATATATGCCCAAAGATTGTGGTTCACTATTCAAAAGCTTACCTTATCTCTCTGCCTACTTGAAATATTAGTGAATTTCAAGATTAACAAATTTATTATAGTGTAACTTTTACTGGACTTCAACCTACTTCATTAGATGCATAGAGCATTAGCCAGGGGTTTAAAAAATATAAAGAGGACACATGTTTGGGGCTAGGATGATAGATAGTGGCATCAGAAGGAAATTAAATACAGAAAGTACTTTCATTTGCACTTTGAGGAGAGGCAGATAAGAAATAACAATAACAATAATTGTTGTTCTTGTTCTTGATGTTGTTGTTATTGACAACTAGCCATTCACAAAATGATTGTTGATAACCAAACATCCTGGCACTGGGGAAGCCAATTAACATTGGAAGTGCATTGTTAACATCTGCTTGTAAGCCATTAAATACTATTTTCTGAATAAATATGCATGGGATTGCACTGTAGATACTACTGCTTACATTAGACATGCTAAGCAATGTGATTTATATTTTCCACATAATCAGTTTCAAATAATACAATGTTTCATATCTTGGGTGGATTATAACATTTGTATGGTGAAAAATATAATTCTTTATTTCCATCAACATTCAGTACATTATTAGAAACAACCTTGTTTGCTTTGTTTTCTTCCTTTGCAGGATGTCCTTTGGGATTTTATGGAAAAGACTGTGCATTAATCTGCCAGTGTCAGAATGGAGCTGATTGTGATCACATCTCAGGGCAGTGTACATGCCGTACAGGATTCATGGGGAAGCATTGTGAACAGAGTAAGTTGGGATTGGGAACTAGTTTCTCAGATATAATTATGTGGATTGTCTCTTCCTAATGTGTTTTGAATACCAAAGTCAGGATAATCCATGCCATAATATTTCTGATTTCTAGATGCCCATTTCAATTTTGAGAAATTCCCATCCATCCTAAACTCCCTTCTCCTTTAGTATTCCTGACCATGGGATTACTCCCAGAGTCTCCCTAAGTTTGTTGAAATTAGCTCTCCTAAAGTCTAGAATGAGTGTTTGACTATGCCTAGCTTCTCCTTTCTACTTACTGTATAAGAAACTCCAGGAGAACAAGATCACTCCCACCCAAGGATCCCACCACTTGCACCCTATTGACCAGATCATCTCTGTTGGTTAGGATCAGATCTAAAATAGCTGA